TGGGAGTAGTTCATAAGTAGTTCATGATGACTCCTCTCCTGAGGTTGTTATTGGTAGGTACAGTTTGCATACACCCCATAAGACCCATCATACTGTGCTTAAGGCAATTGGAAATGAGTTGGTACGGAAATGGATACATATAAGCGCGAGTGAGATAAGAAGGATAGAGAAAAGTATTGAAGCATCGAAGTTGAAGCATCAGCAGTTGTCTTTTATGTTGAGAATGCATTCTAATAGGAGGAAGATTCAACTACCATGATGATGCCTTAATGATGTTTCTGAATATACTATGATTTGTTGGCTTATCCCATATTGCAATCCCAAACCTGGTCAAAGTGAGAATGATTGGAAAACACTTCCACTCGCGAGGGTGAGATGAGAGTGTTATCAAGATAAAATGAAACGCCCTTCCACCCTATGATATATACTTCAACACAACAGTAGGAGGATTCAAGAGAATGTAGCCTTGTAGCCAACTTGTCGTCGTACTACTATCCCATAATCACTGCCGATTCTCGTATTTATCGGTACCTATAGTAGTAGTAATAGATGACTATGGAATGTGTGTATTATTATTGCTATTACTTGTGGAATCCAATATCGTTGGCCTTCTCCCTAAAGCATTGACGGCACATCATAAGGCCGTACTTGCGGATAAGACCGTGCTGGTTGGAGCACACACGGCATTGACGAGAACCAGGGCCGAAGTTACGGGGACGAGTCATATAGAGATCCGGCATAGTGGCTTAGGTGGCTAACGAACTCTCTGATAAGCAACACCTTACCACCAACCTATTCCATATCTAACCTACTCCAACCTAAGATACCTCCCGCACCAATATCCAAACTGAGCAAGGACTAGCTTATCTAAGGTTCCCCCGTATCCTACCATAGCCAGGTCCAACCTCACGAACACTCTATCCCCTCAAAAGCCTCGGATCACGTCTAGGGGAACACCGATCGATTGCGCTATAGCGATGGAGGAGAATTGAGGAATTGCAAGAATGCAGATATTGCAAGATCGGTCCTAGTAACGTGATGATGCGCAAGATTCACTATGGACAT